GTCTTTGCTGGCGCAACCTTAGCCCCGCTATCCCAGCAGAACTGCAGCTGCCGCAAAGCATTGAGACGAAGAAGCAACGACACCAACTGCTCGGGTGTAGTCGGCATCCAGGCCTCTGTGTGCTCCGCAGCTGTCCTATCGTTGCTTTTCACCCAGCCGTAGTAGTTGCGCTGTAGGTGCTGGAGAATGTCCGTTGCGGGAAACCAGCCTTGCTTCGGCTCCTTCGAGTTCCTCGGGCAGCGCGTGAAGCTAAGAACGGTCATGAACAGTCGCTTCAGCTGCCGCTCAAACCCTACTAGGGTAAGCGGCGAAGCTAAGGACGGGGCCACAGTTGTGCACGCATCAATGTCCGCGCGGCACTCCGTGCCGGAATCATCACTAGTCTCAGCCGCCTTACTATCAACCTCTTTCTGTGGTTCCGTTGGCTCCTGTGGTTCAGTTGGCTCCTGTAGTTTTAAAAACTCCCGCTGAAAGTACGGCTCCAACTCCGCCACACACGCCTCGAAGCCTTCCTCCAGCCACATTCTCCCAAGTCGTTGCTTCCATTTGCTTCCTGCAACGAATACGTCGGCGTCTGGGGTAGCGTAGCCGCGCGCCCGTGACTCGTTGGCTAGGGACTTGTGGCTCCAGAGCTCACTGTGAATGCAGGCCATCTCCCCCACCTTCATGTTGCCTTTCCGGCAAAGAAAGAGCACCAGTGCCAGCTTAATCACCCATCGGCCGCGACGGCTTGCAATGACGTTATCTCTCCTTTGCACGCAAACCTTCCCCTCCTCGACAAACTCTTGCGACTGTGATAATGACATTGGAGCGCACACAGCACGGTCTTTGTGTGTTTGTGTGTGTGTGTGTGTGTTGTGTGTCTGGGCGTAGGCAATTTTTGTTTGCTAAAAGAAAATGGTAAAGGCAGATGCACTCCGGGCCGCAGCCGTAATGGGAACGAATATGGCACGCAGGTTCCGTTGCCTCCAAGTTCGGCCAAAACGAGACGCGAGTAAAGCCAAAGAAAAAAAAATCCAAACAAACACGCACTTGCACGCTCAACGTGACCATGGGTGCATGGAGAAAAACGGATATAACTCATGCATCCAACCAATCCTCGACGTTAAACTCTGTCAGCTGCAGAACGCTATCGCACAAGTCACTAAGGGAGTCATACCTCCTCCCCATCATTGCCTGAGCCGCAGGTTCAACAGGAGCCACCCCACGACGGCTGTTGCCACACAGAGACTCCTCCTCCCCGCAAAGCGGTAGAGAAAACGAAATGGTAGAGTCATTTATATTGCTGTGCGGCGCACCCTCCAACACGCGATCTTGCTGATTCGCCACAGCATCCTTTCCCCCTCCAGCTACGGCATCGTCATGGCACCGCCCGCGTGGCCGCCTCGGCCCCGCAGCTGGTGTCGGCAAAGGGTGACACTGTCGTTCAACCAGGCTGTTGCTCTCAATGCGCCGTAGCCGCTCCGCCAGTGCCGCATCCATCTTCTCCCGCCGCTGTCGCTCCACCAAACGCCTCTCGACCACGGCCCGACGCTTCAGGTCGTGTACCAGCGCCCCCCACTGCAGAGGCTCATCACACAAAGGGCATGGGCTGGGCTGGCACGGCAACAGCGTCAGCGACCGCGACGATCCGCAAAGAGTCGCCCGACTCAAAGAAACATTGTAGCTAAGATCAACGGATGGGGCGGCACTCGTCGTCGAACGGTCGTCCGCGCTGTTCACAGCAAGAGAAGTAAGCGGCCGCGCTGAGAGAAAAGTGTCCACGGCGTCATCGCTGCCATTATTATCTCTTTGCGTGTTACAGTTTCCACCGTTACACGCACGCCTGGTGGACACATCCGTCACCAAATCGCGCTTCCGCAGACTGTCGTGCGTGAACCACATGGCGAGACATGTCAAGTGAGCACGCAGAGCACAGAACGGGGTGCGAGCACACCGCACAAAGTAAGGTGATCGAAGGGGCAGGGAACACAGTGAGCAGGGGCACTGGTTTGCCTCCAGCAACTCTTTCACTCTGACGTGCTGCCGAAGAACCTCTTCCTCTGACAAATACCCGCAGCCCCGCATACGGCGGCCAGAACTGTCCACGTCAAGCTGGCTGACGGGGTTGCCGCCGAGTTGCGCCGTTATGAAGTAGATGCAGCTGTCCATGGCGACATCTCCACCGCCCTCCGCCCCGGCGAGGTAGTGGGTCACAAACCGCTCCTTCGCGATCTCCTCTATACGCAGCAGAGACGTTTCTGCCAACTGCGGAAGCGACGGGCTCCGTCGCTGGAGCTCCGCCACCACTTGCCAAAAGCGCATCGGCTCAAAAATGTGTAGCGTAAGCTGCAGCCGTACAAAGAGGTCGGCCTGCAGCAATAGATGCAGCACCCCAATCGCGTATGGAAGGCGGTGTACCCCGCGCAGCTGAGGCATCTGCGCCTTCAGGTGGGTGGACTTTGTCGGGTGCTGCCAGCACCACTCAAACTTCAATGCGATGCGGTCCTCTCCAAAGCCGGAGACGCAGCAGACAAGCTCCCACGGACGCCCACGCCGCTTGGTGCGCCACGCTCCACTCACAAGCTCCCCATTGTGCTGTCGCAGACGCCGAATAGGGTTGACCGTGTAGCCAACGTAGTACTCCCCCACACACTGTGGGTCGAGACTCGTAAGCAAGTAGACGCAATGGAACCTTGTATCCATTAATCCACTATGCGCAGTCTCCAGTGTGGTGCTGTTACACGTCTGGATGGGTCTTCACCGCACAGGCAGGAAGATGAGAAGCAAACACCGCGCCTGCCTGCCTGTATCTCTGTATGTTTGTTGCCAGAAGGCAGGTAGTCTAAAAAAGACAAAAAAAAGCCCCGTGAGGCGCCACCCAAAGTGGGTGAAATGGACGTCAGCTGAGCCCGTTTCTCCTCCGACACCTAAAGCGAGCGGAGAAAAATCAGCACCGAGCACGTGCTCACAGCTGCCAAAGAACCGCTAGCGCAGAATAACACACACACACACACAAGGGGAAGGAAAAGAAAAAGGGGAAGTGAAGTGCCAGCATGTGCACCCACCACGCTCCACAACGCGTGGGGTAAGTGGCAGCAACAGAGTAACACATCCAACAGATGTACAAGCACAAACACATTCTTTCTCTCTCTCGCCGCTTCTCTCTTCATTGCTGCCCTTCTGCTTGCTGTACCTCGTCTTGAGACAGCTGCCCCGTGAAGAGAGAAAAAAAAAAACGAGGAAGCAGGAGGGGTTGAAGGTGCTGGTAGACGCAGTTATATCGGCGGCAGAGACGGGTCATTTATTTTGTTTCTGCATCGTTTTTCAGTCATTCTTTTTTCCCTTTTTCCTTCCTCTATTATTTTTTTTTTTTTTTCATGAAGGGGGGCGGCGAGTGGAGCGAGGGCAGATGAAAGAGCCGCGCCGACGCCGGTGGCACGCAGAGGAGGAGTGGCAATGAACCCTCCTCGCCACTTTGGACATTGACAAGACCTGTCTGTTTCTGCTTGTGTTGTCACCGTTTGTTTGCTTGCCTGCTTCCCTCCATTGACGGTTTCCCCTTTCGTTATGGGCGCCTCCTTCGCCCCCATCCGCCGCGCCGCACCCGCCCCGCCCCGCCCGTTCCCTCCCATTGGCGGCCTCATGTTTTGCTTTTGCCCACCCGCCACCTCTTTTGCTGAACGGTGCAAGCACGAGCCTGCCCTCCCTCGCCGCAGGCCGCGCCTTCCGTGCGCGGGCAGGACGCACGCCTTCCATCCCTGCCAGAGCCTGCAGGGCGCACAACACGCATGCCTCGCCGTGAAAAACTCGCCCGAGCCAAGGCCCATGTGAGATTCTGTGAGAGGCACGCATTTACATCATAATGATGGTAATCATACAAGGCGCTGTAATACACGCGTGGAAATCCATTTAAAAAAAAAAGTGCTTTCTAACCCTCACGAGTCACTCGCTGCATGGAGCGCCACGTACGCATACACCCAGAGAGTGCGTTGTAGAAGCATGCATGTATGCCCGCGAGCCTGCACGCGTCTCCCACACGCACACGCGGAGAAATAAACGCAGGAAGAGAGGGGGAGAGGGGGAGGGGCGCAAGAGAGCAACATCGGTGCGGTAAAGCGTCGCTTATGTAATCGACTTCCTCACTTCGTGGTGCAGGTGCACAAGCAGCTGATCGTAGCTCATGGAGCCGCCCTCGTTTTCCTCCTTCAGCTGCCTAAAGAACGCCTCCTCGGCGCGCTCCTTCTCTTGGAGGATCACAAAACGCCGCATGCCATCATCCCGAAGAAGACAGGCGTACAGCACGTTCTTGAGCTTCTCCCCAAAGTCGTTAAAGAACACGGTGCGGCCAACGTCCAAGGCATTCATAGTGCCGAAGAGCTCAAGTGCCACATCCGGTGCAACAGCGGAGCCTACCCACAGGTACACAATTCGTGCCTGCTCGTCGCACAGCACGTAGACGCCGTCGTTGGTAATGCTGTCGAAGATGAGCTGCTGCCAGGTCGGCATCACGCAGCGGCCCGTCTCCGGATCCAGCACGCCGCTCTTGGGATCAGACGGGAGGTGGTGAACAGCGTACAACGTGGGGTACATGTACGCCACGCACTGATGCATGGGAAGCGTCATGAGCAGGAACAGTTTCTGCACGCGGTCGTCAATGGGCACAGTGGTGCCCTCCACAAGCGCGTCCGCCTTCAGTAACGAAAGCACAAACAACGGAATCAGCCGCAGACGCGATGGCATCAGCAGCGAGGAAGTGACGTTGGACGTGCACACCCGGCGGTAGGCAATGAGCATCTTCAGTACACGGTCCTGTGCGGCGTTGCGGGCGTACTGTAGCCCCTTATTCACGGAGTTCCCAATCGCCTCGTGGATGTAGCCCATCAGCGTTGCCTCCAAGTCCGCTTCAAACACGCCCGAGAGGGTTGTGACTACCGGCATGCGGACGGAGTGCACTCGCACTCGCCTCTGCCCGCCACGGGTGGTGTACAGCAACGCCACCTGAAAGTAGGCGTGAGACGTTTTCTCCAGCTTTCCCTCATGTGCAAACTCTACAAAGAAGGTGGAGGAGCCCTGCACGTGGGCGAGATCCATGTCGTGTGGGTCCTGCGACATAAAATGGCCACGGTAGGCCTGCACGCGAATCCCGGAACTGCAGCGAACACGCAATATGCCGGCGTACCCGGCCTCCTCCAGCAGTGCCTGGTTGAGTGCGGCCTGCACCTTCGTGGCGTCCGTCTCGCGATCGTAGTTGGCGAAGAGGTGCACACGGCCACTGGAGACATGGCACGGCTGCGAGATGGTAGCCAATTCACAGTACTCATCCGCGAACATGTGTAGATCAAAAGAGATCTGTTGCTTCGCACAGGCAGTGGCAGTTGTCCTCCAAAACCCTTCCATGGGCCGCAGCAATTCCTTCTCCTTATCTGTGCCGTATAAGAGATGTTGCTCTCGCAACTTCAGTGCGCCAACGCCGCGCTGTGGTGCCTTGTGTCCGCACAGAATGACACGGCCGCCGTGCTGCCCCGCAAGCACCAGCGTGGCAACCTGGACGGCGGCTCCCATGACGCAGTCTGATTCCATAAGGTCCTCAGCGTACTCCAATACACGCATCAGGAAGGCATCCACAAGGTCGAGGTCAGTACCCAGCGTCAGCCAACAGAGGCTGGTAAACGGTAGCGGGACAAATGGGTTGTCGACGTCGGCAACAATCAACTGCGGAATACGGGGGTGACGCACGTTGTAAAAGTGTAGCGTAGCCGCGTACGTAATGAAGGCTACACGGCACTGAGGGTAGTACTCGGCCATCTCATGCAGCGAACGCATTAAGGCATCCACGTAGTCCGGGAGAAACTTGGCGATAGCCTTTTGCGAGACGTCCAGGAGGAACAAATAGTGCAACGGTCGCACCGCAATCGGGGCGTCCTTCTCGTCACGAAGAGCGTACTCCTCGTAGGGTCCCACGTCGTACTCCACGCTACCGCGGCTCAACTCCGGCCGCTCCTCCCGATCTAGCCGCTGACCACGAGCGTCCAGGTTACAAAAATCCTCGCTCCCCACCTCGTTCGACATGGTGCAGAAGGGGCAAAGCCAATAACGGCCCATGTCCGTAAAGCGTACGTGACACGAGATGTAGGCGCGACAGCGATAGCATCGCACCGGCGGCCGGCCCTCCACAAGCGGCACCTCCTCGCGTGGATGCAGGGGTCGACAGAGTGGGGCCAACACGGCGCCGAAAAACACATTGCTATCCTTCACAAGACGTTCTTCGGCGGGAATGGAGTTTGTGGTGGGGCGAAAAAACTTTGGATTCGCATTGCCGTCATCGACAGCGATAAACCCTGTAGCGCTTAGCGGTAGCTGCCCCGAAGATGTATGAATCTCCTCAGTTCTGAGCTTTTGCGAGATGTCGCGGCGGGGGTTGGGAGCACTTTTTAGATCCACGCTGCGTTTCGGCGGCGGTCGCGCGCACTTTCCAATGGGTGAGGCGCATTGCTCCCGTTGGCTGGAACTATGGGTGGGAGAAAAGCATCCTACCGTAGGGCGCTGCTGCTGCGTCTGTTCCACCTGCTGCGCCGTCGGGAGTCTCGACCCGCCAGCATCGGCCCGAGAACTCACCGCAGGGGCAGCGCCTGTAAAAGGCATTGCTGGAACAGACGCAGCGGTGGCTCCAGCAGTCTGTTGTTGCTGCAGCTGTATCTGGTGCTGAGAAGGCATCAGCGGCGACGGCTGTGGTTGTTGTGCGTAGTTGGGAACGGGATAGTAGTTGCTATGGTCCTGCACCCCGTTCATTGGGGCGGATACGTAAGGATCATGATATTGGGGATGCATTGCGGCCCTATTGCTCACGAGGGCAGCATCCGCCGTTGCTGTTGCCTCCGGAGGGGGGGCGGCGCCGTACTGCGGGTGTGTGTATTGCGGCAATGATGTTAAGGAAGGAACCGCCTGCGTTGGCTGCTGCTGTTGTTGCTGTTGTTGTTGTTGTTGGCCCTGCGGGTAGTAGTACGGCTGCTCCGGCCGCTGTGCGCTGCCGTACGGGTCGTACATCGGCTCCTTAAGGGTGACGGAAAGCAAATAAAAAGATGGGGCCGCAGAGGCAACCAGGGCGAGTCAGTTAATAACCCTCAGGTACCTAAGAGTACGAGGTTTGTGTGGTTCACCTTCTCTACGCCTTCTTGCCGCGTGCGCGTGTGTTGTCCCCCGCACACGCCCCTCACAGTCACGCAAACTACAAATAACAGTATTGCTACTGGCACGCACGCAGGCGGAGTCTGACCGCACAGGAAATCCTCGTTGCTGTTTCGTCTAATGTGTTGACGCTGCGTTACTGCGCAGAACCATGAGAAAGCGGCGAGAACGGCAGGCAAAGAAGAGAAGATACGAGCAAAGCGTGCAAAAAGGGCAGACGTGCCGTGCGAGGACACACGCGTCCCCTCAACATAGTAGGCGCGAAGGACGTGCCCTCGTCACATCAAACACACACAGAAGCACATGCCGCATGAAAGTCATATGCAACAGGAGTAGAACGAAGCAACAACCAATACACACACACACAACAAAAAAAAAAAAAGTAGCTGTCACGGTCCTCAGACACGCCCGCAGATGTAAGAAAGGACTAATGCCAAAACAAAAATAAACGGGCAAACAAAAAAAAAACAAAAGGAAGGAAAAAGAGACGGGAGTCAGGAAGAGCAAAAAGGCTGGGAGTTGCAAGGCACTTCGTTAACGCTACTCGCGTCCGCCCTCATTCCCCGCTTCCTCTTCCGTGGCTGCAATGTTCGTAATTTTTGCCTTGAGCCGAGCAACTGCCCTTTTCCCTCTTCTCCATTCGCTCCCTTTGCACGGCTGCCTCCGCCGCAGCCACAAGCACATGCCTACATACATACATATGTGTGTGTACATATATGTTCCATCACTCGCACTTTACAGAGAGACAAGGGAGGGGTTTTGTGAGGCGGCAGCAAAAGAGGAAACGCACACATACATCAAAACAAAATGGGACAAAATACGTGCGCCGATCAAATGAAGTATAGCAGGCTGTAGTCGTCATACTAAAAAGAGGGGAATTGCATTACTTCGTTTGTACGCTTCCAGTCTCTACCGTTTTCGTAGCTTTGCCTTCAGTCCTTTTAACCAAACCACAAAGGAGGAATACGCACAAGGAATCATTAAACATGAAAGCAAAAGGAATCTTTTGCATTGAGTTGTATATGTCCTCGCCCCTGTTCCCGCTGAGGCTGAGGCGCACAGAGCGCAAAATAATAATAATAACAATAATAATAATAAACAATGCATGGGGCATACATATAGACCGCAGTTGGTAGGGAAATCGCAGACACACGCACAGACGCGCCCTTATTTGTTTTGCCGCCGCCTTTTCTATTTTGCTTACATCACATTTTCCCTCCGCCGCTTCCGGTGGACAAAGCGCAGGCAGGCGTTGAAGGCGGCAAACAACATATGTGCGGCAGCTCGGCAGCAGTCTACATGCTGGCCAGGCGCAGGGCGATGATTTCAAACACATTGTACCCAATACCCTCCGACTCACATCCTGCAAGTCCCGTCAGCGGCGGTGTAGACGCATCGTGGCTGTGTGCCGATGGTGTTACGGTGCCTCTCACTTCGGGCGACGCCGCGGCGGGAAGCACGTGGAAGGTCAGCCAGGAGGGGAAGGAGTAATTCGTACCGCTGTGATACCGGTGCGCCACGCACGGCACATACGGGCGCAGCCCACGCAGAATGCTGGCGTCATTCTCCTCGCCGTCAAACAATGCCACATGCGCCCGGCAGAAGTGTAAAAGTTGCTTGAGCGTCATGCGACCGCAGTTATCCGTGTCGTACGCACGAAACACCACCTCCCGCTGCTCATCGCTGTAGCATGGCACTAACCCCTGCACATTGGGAAACGACGGCGCCTCCGCTGTGGAGTATTGGGGCGAGAGTGACCGTGTCCCACCCCACTGAGCTGGATGCTCCTGTCGTTGAAGCGGCACAAACGGCTCCGCGTGTGCCTCGATCTCTGCTGACGCACCAGGCCCACCGCCGCCTGGCGTACCGTGACCGGCACCTGTCGGCCTCGCCGGTTGGCAGACGGCGTAGCCTGCCGCGTTGGCAGAAGAAGCTGCCGGCCCATAAACGGCGGGGGGCGTTGAGGAGGCTGCTGGTACTGCGAGCTTCGCAGCCGACCCTGGCGCCGCTCGCTCCAACTCTTCCTGCCGTTCTTCCGCCTCTTCCTCCTCATTGTCACTCTCACCGACGGCAGCCGCAGCCGCCATATCCCCGCGGTGTCGTGGAAGCGCGCTTGTGGGGCGACCGTTCTGGCCATCGCGTTGGGGTTCGTAGAACTCTAACTGCATCACGAGCCGCACGCAGAGATTCATCATGGTAAGCGGGAGTCCCTCTATCAGCATGAGAGCGTGGCGGCGACACTTCTCCCAGCGCATCTCTTGATCCTGCACGACCGCCAGGAGCGGGTCAAACTCCACCTGCAAATACAAGCGCATTTTGGTGTCATTGTCGCCGGTGCCGGACCACACCGCGTGCATACAGGTTTGGACTTCTCTACGCATGAACAGCGGGAGATCAATGCAAATCGTCTCCTGCACCGCCACCGCACCATTCTCATCCACGCTTGTCGGAATCCGCACGGTCCGCCGCACTGGTGACACCTTATGCTGTGGCCACGTAAACTCCAGCCTCCAGCTGCCGTGGGATGAAAGGGGATTAAACCCACTCACTTGGATGTGCGAAAAGACAAGACTGCGAGGCTGGCACTCACGCGTCCTCACACCTTTCCCACTCTGCGTTCCGCAGCTTGCTGGGGCGTGCTTAATTACTGACGCGTCTTCCACTAGGAATACATGCGAAAGCACTGGATGCAGGGTCTCCGTAACGGAAGGGGCCGAGTAGTTAAACTCAGAGGAATCCGAAGAGGGGCACGTCTTTTCGGCGCCTCCAGGTACACCAGAGGCCAGGTCGAGTGGCTGCTGCTTACTTTTACCGCACCTTGAACGCCTCTTCGGCGTGCCCCCCGCGGAGTGCACCTGTCGAACATCAGCCACCGCCCGGACCATGGGCGTGCAGGCGCTTGTGCCGTTATCCGTCGCCACTGACGCATGGTCCGAGAGCTCTGCCCCATGCAGCGAGACAGACCCCACACACTCCGCCGGCCCGTCCAGAAACCGTTGTCCAGACCCCGGTGACCGCGCCACTCCGCCGTCCCCCTGGCAGTAGACCTTAAACTCCACCTGCACATCACCCCCGCACGGGGCAACTGGTTCCCGGTCGCCGGGGTAATGGCATGACGCACCGCCTACAACAACCGCGCCGTGGACGGTGCGCAGCACGACGTGTACGCACCCCCGCGTCGTGCTCGCGGCATCGCTGTCGCTCAGGGAGACACGCCTGTCGACCGCCTCGCAGGGCGCCCCGGGCCTCCAGGCAGAAACGACAGGAACGACAATGCGGAGGTGATCGAGGCCAAGCGTACGTCGTGTGGAGGGAAGACAGTGGGAATCCACTGGGGGTGTTTCGTTGCGCTGCGGCGCGTCTTCCGCATCCGCCAGGACGGGGAGAAGTCGGTCGGCCAAGAGCAGGCTACTATCTACAACGAGCTCCACAATCAACGGGGTATCGGCGATGGCCTCTGGAAGCCCCCGTACCCGCACCCGCACCGAGGTTGCGACCAGGAAGTGGGAGAGCTCTTGGTGGGGCTCGACCATCACGCCCCCTAGCGCCCCCAGCGCAGCCACCGTTGAGTTATTCGTAAAAGTAGAGGAGGACGAGGAAGCGGAGTTTAGCTGTTGCATGCTTTTAATGAAACTTACAGCCGAGCCCAATAAAAGTAAAGCACCCTTTCCCTTTATCGCTTTCTCAGTCGCACTCCGTGTCGAAACGAATATGTATCCACAATGTCGAGGTGTCGCCTCGTATGTATCTCTAGCGCACCAGGTAGATAGAGAGACCCCGCGTGCTCGTGTGTCAGTAGACCGCTTCCCTGTCAAGCCCCATGTCAGGCGTGTGTGTAGGCAGAGAAATCAAAGACGATGGGTAAGCAAAGTGAAGTATTCCCCTGCCACGTGCGCTCTCACGTAGCAGGCGGCATGGCACATAGACAGACGGAGCAAGAAAAACAGTACAAGGCAGCACCGGAAAGGGGAAGAAAGAGAAGATAGTAAAAAAAAAAAAAAACGTAGTTGAGTACATATCATTTACGCCCGGGTCACATGGCCATCCGTGCATTTTGTACACGGCGCCAAAATAAATGCACAAATAGTAGTGCCTGTCGTATGTACATGTAGTGAAGAAGGGAGGAAGCAGCGGTGCAGCGTCTCCGCTGCCTCCACTCCCTCACTCTTCTTTCTTCGACCGTTCCTTCGCCGTGCGGTATCACCTCCTTCATATCTCTGTCACACGACTGTCTCCGCAAAGACTGAAGCCGCCATTCTCCACCAGGCAACCGTTGATCAGCACATCGTAGAGTGCCTCAAAGCGGACATTCATCTGTTCCCTAAACGTCACGGCTATCTCACACACACCAGGCTGGCCACCGCGTGTGGCGCCAGGGATAATGCCTTGCATGGGAGTAATAGTGAAGTGCTCAGGGTCTGTTACCACGAGCAGCTGTTGCTCTTCCTTCTGTGGCGCCCTTTGTTGCCGCTCTTGCTGCGCCTGCTCTGGCCCCGCACACCCAGCGCCGCGCACCGCAATGGCAGGGTCATCCATGTTTGCCCCATCCTCGCCGGCATCGTCCCCGCCGCCGCTGCCACCTTCTTCCCAGTAGCGCGTCACCTCTTTTAATTGGCGCCCGCGAGTGAGGAGAGGTGCCGCTTCTCGCGCGGTGCTCCGCTTGAAGGAACTGGGCCCCGCAGCAGCGGCAGTGCTGCTGCTGCCGTCAGGAGTTGTGGTGGCGGTAAGGGCAGGAAAGACCTTTGCACATGTTTGACACGATGGGACAATCGCAAACGTCACTGCCGATGGGTAGGAACTCAGCAACTGTATTTTTTGCGCATATGACGGCTGCGGCCTTCCATCGTGCAACAGCTGACCCGGGCGAAACCACAGCTGTGCGGGACTGCAGCGCACTGTAGGCGACAAGAAGTTGAGGACGATGGGAACCGACTGCGTCAACTCCAGCACCGGGGGTGGGGAGACGGCGGGTGGCGTTCCCCCGTCGTGCGGCCTGGGGGCCTGGATGCAACCATCCGAGGGAAGGTACATGATGTTGAGCGTCGCCTCCACGCTGCTGCCGCCGCGAATTATGGCATCCACCTCCTCCTTCGCCGGGACGCAGTACGCCAGCTGCACCTCCAGGGCGTCGTTGGGGCGCAGGAGGTACTTGGTGACCGTCACAAAGGCGGTATCCCCGTGCTGCATGGAAGTTCGGCCGGAGAAGGAGAAATTTTCTATTCGCACCTTCGTCACTGTCGCCTCTCCAGACGACTGCCGCCTCGCGGCTGTTAGCAGCCGCTGTGCCTTCTGCCGATCCTCGCCGCTGCTCCACTTCAGCTCCGCCACCGCCCGCCGCCCACGTGCCTCCTCCTCGTCGTCCACCTCCACTGGCTCCTCCTCCATGTTGCCCGAAATGAAACGTGTCGCCGTAACGCAGAAGGAGGAGGACGGCAGGTCCAAAATAAACTCCATCGCCGCACAGCTCGGGTTGGTTAACCGCACCGTCTGCATGCATGGCTCGCCTTCCACGTACTGGGGGAAGCGAACCAACTCGCCAGAGGGTTCCACAGCAAGCCGTGCAACGCCGCAGCGCGCGCGAACCTCAAGTTCGATGGGAATAAAGTAATGGCGGCTCTGCTCCGCCATCTCCAGCTTCCGCTGCTCCATAAACGCATACAAGGCCTGGCGTTCCTCTTCGTTTGCCAGAATACGCTCCGGCGGCAGGCGTGAGACAACCGCCTCCTCCTGGTGAACCAATGTCTCCTCGTTAAGCTTCGCGCCTTCCTCATCCGTATCCTCGTCGTCCTCTCGTTCCTTCCCGGTGGTGGTGCTTGCGTAAAAGCAGGTTTCGGTGTCATGTTTACTTTTAACTTCCTCGCCCGCGGCGCCGCCGCACAGGTGCGACGCACCCATTGAGAAGTGCGCCCGCGGCACTGTCAGTTCTCCCGGTGTAGAAGGCAAAACCACGTTGTTCCGCACCACCCCAGGTCGGGAGATGAGGGGCTGCTGCACATTCAACATCACGATGGGTCGCACGATGCTGCGCATCCACGCAGGCACCGCCTCCCTCACCTGCTTCTTGATGACGCGCTCCGCCGGGTAGCGCGCGGAGTTCAGGCGGTAGAACTCATCAATGATGAACCCATCATTGAAGGGACTGTCAGCGACCTCCGCCGTGATGATGACACCGCCACGCCACTCCCGCTCAGCTGCACCCGCCTTGGCCACAAAAGTCGCATCTGGGGCGTACTCCACGGTAACCTCCCTTGACGCCAACGCGGGGAGAAAAAAAGTCTCGGGCACTGCCGCCACCTTCCCCCTTCCCTCCGATTCTCGCCGCTTCTCCTCTTCCGAGACGGGCTGAAGCTGCAGCGTCACGGCAGCCGCCTCCACCTCGTCGTCCACAGCAACTACGGAAAAAGTCGCGGTAGTGAGAAAGATCTTCACAGAGACATTTAAATCCCGTGGAACACGGTTAATGAGAAGCATGCTGCGCCTCGACCGCCCTACACCCGCAATGACGGCCGGCATGAGCATCAGTTCTCTACCACCCAGCACAGTAAGCCCTGCTGTGTTGGAGTCAAGCAGCACCGGTTTCCCACTCAGCTCTAGGTTAAGTGGGATGTGCGTGTAGGGCAAGTCACCACAGCGTACCTGCAGCGTCTCCTCGTAGCGGCCGGGGAGGTTGGCAAATATTGTCAGCGGCACCTCGACTGTGGCGTGTGAATAAAGTGGACCAAAGGGCGCGTTGCCAAAGATGGTGGCACCGCCGCGTCCATCTAAAAGTATTTTCTGAGCGTCAACTAAAGTGGCACGACGCTCACGCTCCATCTGATCCGTGCCGTCCACGTCTTTACACCAAAACGAACGCTGAACCGACTTTAGTGAAGGCTTTTCAGCAGACCCCTCAGTCCGTCCAGCTGGATAAGGAGCAGCAGAAGGGCGCTGCTGATATTGACGTTTTTCCCTCTTGCCCTTCACAGTAGTGTTAGATCGCTGCATGGGCAGACGTGCATCATCTAGGCTCGTCGCTGCCCCAAAGGCTTCTCTCGCTGTTGTTATAGCGTGTGTTTCCCGCAGTGTGCCTGTCCTTGAAGATTCCTTTATAGAACCCTTCACCGGGTAACGCATCGCCTCCACAGTGTAGGAGCCAAGACAGCCGGTCTGGTTGCTGACTCGCAACACCAACAACTCCGACCACACAGGCTCCTTGTCCGGTAAGCATGACTTCAACACCACAGGTGGGCAGTACGGGCGCAACACCGTTGGTGGACGCTCTGTTGTAACTGCTAGATCGGTTAGCTCCGTCACTGTACCGGGCGGGCACAGCGCATCTGTTGCATCCACCACACGAAGCTCCACAAGATTCCATAGAAGTGCCTCGATAAAGCAGGCGATCTCCATTCGTAGTGGGGACGGGAGGGTGTGTGGCAGAACAGGCGGGGTGTACGCCATGCTGCAGGCCCCTTGTGCCATCTTTGGCACCGGAATCAGATCGAGTGCAACAGCTAACTGCTGCACCTGCGCACAGCGGAGCTCCACGAGGGTTTCCTGCTTCACCCGGGTGTTCTTAATAGACAGCAAGGCCTCCCACTCCCCTCTGCCTGGCTGGAAGTCAAAGGCGCAGCTAATGGGAATAGAAACGTTCTGATGCCCTGCCCGCACCACACCGGGCGGGGGGGTGATGAGTTGAATGCAGGCCGGCAGCACAACAGGCTCGACGGTGTAGGGAATGTCAAAGGCGGAGGCGTTGGACACAACAAGGTTTTGCACCGCCCATACCCCCTCCGGCACAAGACCAAAGTCCAGCACCGTATCCTGCACAACGAGTAAAGCTACCTGAATGGTGGCACGGGTTTCGATCGCCAGGGTGTCGCCACCCCGCACGGTTAACTCAAAGAACGTCTGCGAGTCACCCAACTCCACTGCCTGGCGGTACACCGTCACCTCCACTGAGTCCCTCGCGCCAAGACGGTGGGTGGGAGGGAGGAACACAAAGCGGGGCGGCTCCCGCAGCATGGGGTCATGGAGGTCAAACACGACAGGGATTGGGTTGTCATTCGATACCGTGAAGGAGGCCTCCGCCTCGCCCCCGTGCTCAATGAGGCCAAAGTCCAGGCAGTCCGTGCTCAAGTGTACGGAGGGGCCAACGCCTGTCACACTGAGGTGCAGATGATGCGAGCAGCGAACCTTCGTCGCCGGTGACGTTTCCTCCGCCACGGCTGCAGCCGAAGTGGCCGCCAAGAGCTCCATCAGTTCTGGAATGTAGCAGTCAATGGCGATGAAGTGGTAGCCGACCTCCCGCAACGTAAACCGGAACTGCACAGTGACGCTGGTGTGTGGTGGCACACACCCTTTTCGGGGCTCAAAGCTGACATCCAGCCTCTCACGCTCGCGTGTCGAGAGCAGCACCCCGGGGGGGCATTCGTCCCCGCTCGGGTCAAAGCAGAAATGCAGCGGACGCGGGGAGCTGTTTTTCATCGTGATGCGCCGCATGTTGCTGTAGTGTACGAGGCACTCCACCCCCTCCTCCAGGTGGTCCGGGATGATGTGGAAGGAGGGCAGGACGGGGTCGGTAAAGAGGTAGAAGCCCACAGCAAAGACACCGCAGCAGTCCTTTGGCTGTTCGCGCGTGCAATTCTGGAACATGATGTAGGGGTCTGGCATCACCTGCAGTGCGTTGAGGGATGGCACAGCAGGAATCGGTTGACCGCGCAAATACGGATCCAATACCGCTGTCGCGTCAACAGGTGGGACGAGCAGACCCTCTAAAAAGAGATTAAGCACGGCAGCCAAGGGCTGAGCCGCCGCGGGTCTCAGAGTGACGGTAAAGCAGCTCTCCTGCCACGGAGGAAAGACACCGGTGGCGGGTGTCACTCGCAGTGAAACCCCTTCGCCCACGCTGCTCCCACCTCCAACGGTGTCTGTCCTCCAAAAGTACGGCACCGCAATGGGACCGCGGTTGCGCACCGCGACCAACACCTCGCTCTCAACGTCAGGTGCGGTGTCAGGAACTATGTACTGCGGCACACTCGCATCCTGCTGCGGCGCAGCTATAGTGAGGGTGCCAATGCGCACCAGCTCAACGTGCGGCAAAACACCCTCCCCGTAAAGCCCGAATCGATGCTCCGACACAACAGGCCCCTCCTCACACTCCAGCACCGTTACAAGAAGCTCTTCGGCTTCGTAACGCATCTCCTGCATCGGGGTGAAGTGTACCGTGATGTCAACACGGTCCCCACCAGGCAGAAGTACGGCGGTGTCCGGCGGTGGATCAATCGTAAAGCATGGATCCGTGCTGCTAAGCTTCACCACAGCGACGGAACCCGTGTTCTCAAGGTAAAATCGTCGCGAGCACGTATCCATAACATACGTGTACGGAAACTCACACTTCGTCACAGTTTGGTCCAAGGTTTTGCGGCCGCGACACCGCCCCCCAGTGGCAGGAGGTGCAGCTGAGGACACGGACCCCGTCTCCCCTTCCCCCTCCTGCTGCTGCTGCGGTATTGGACGCAGGCGAAACTGCGGCAAAATCGTTTTACAGTGCAGCGTAACGTCGAAAAAGTGCCACTGTGCCCCCTCGCCCCGGCGGGAGTTCAGCTCCCGGCAATGCCCAAGCCGCAACACCTCCCTAATCAAGGGCGCTGTTGCGCTTTGGGGCCTAAATGTGATGCGTACTTCGACGAAGCCGCCACATCCGAGAGGTTCGTTCAGTGTGGTGCAGCCAACGCCAGAGGTGGCTACACAGTACGACGACGACGGCGGTGGCAGCGGAGAAGACGAGACCGGAGAAGTATGTCGGTCTACAGAGGAGTTCACCATCGAGTAGGTAATCCACGCGTGCTTCGAGGAAGGAATCCGCACGCGAAGAAGATTGGGTTCGCGGTTGATGAATCGTACGGTGGCGCTCACCTCAACACCCACCGTTGTTTGCAGCACCACGCATCTGTCCTCCGCGGAGCACTCAATTTTCGCAAAAGGGCTGAAAACTTTCTTGGACGCAACAGCCACCGGACGGGCTTGGCCCTCGGCAGTCGCTTTTGCCGCACCACCCACTCTTTTTGTCCCCGGTAGTTTTCTCGTTGTTGTTGTTTTTGTTGTTATTGCAGCAACAGCGACGGCAGCCGTCGTCACTGCCGCCGCGGGAAAAGGAGGAGGTCGAAGCAGAGGCGCCGGGGCGATGCCAGCGCCAGCGACTCCGCTGTCGTGTGGAATGATGGCGGGAAGTGTCAGTCCCTTGGTGTCGTCGGCTGTGTGGCCTGCGAGAGGCAGGCGGCGGGTAACACCCGTCACTTCGGTGGTAGAGCCCACCGGCGGCAGCGTGGCGCTCCACGGGGCGCCAAGCTCCATCAAATCCCCGGGTGCATGTGTCAGCAGCTTGCTCTTCAAACCGCCGATTACCGCTGTTATGCTCACAGCAGCCTTGTCTTCTGGAGCGGCCACAACAGGACGGAAGCCGTACTCCCTCTCCAGTGAGGTGTTGAGGTCGCGCGCAAATCCGACGGCGTCGATGGTGAACCCACCGTCAGCGTCCATGGCATCTGGGCCCGCGGAACGTAATCGCGGGCCGCGGGCATCCGTCGGAAACGTGCTGGAAGAGAGAACCGTCACCGATATTTCTTCGGATGCCCCGTATTTGCCGTGCGCTTCATCAGGGGAAAAATCTACCGTTATCACCTTTCCTATGGACACCTTTCGCGGTGTCCCCTGCAAAATTTCATCCATCCTGTACTCGTCAATGTTCCTAGCATTAAAAAAACGTTGTTGTCGACGTGCATGTGCCCGTAGTGTGTCTGCCCCCTCGCGTGAGTGATGCTGCTGCTGCTTAATCTCGTGAATGGTGCGGTACCAAAATTCCTGCTCTCTAGCCGCCACCATGGCTGCCTCCCGCTCCTTGGCAGCGTATAGGGCACTGCCGATGCCCTTTGCCGGTCCGCCCGCGGGCCCCAGTGACCCAACCATCCTCTCCCCCGCACCCCGCTTTGGTTGGGGGCCAGATCCCTTCTTTGGTTTTGCCGCATCCTTCCTTTCATGGCTCACCACCCGCGACTCACCACTCGGGGGCTGGGTCGGTGCCGGCTCCGGCTGGATTTCGGTCCTCCGCTGCAGCTCCGCCTGGAACGCCTTCTCCTCTTCCCCCTCCAGCAGCTCAAGGTTGTGAAGTTCATCCGCGAAAAGCTCCAGTGCCCGTCCCATCCACGCCGTGTCTACCAGCGACTCCTTCAGACGGTCAGCAGCGTCCATTACTGTGCACCTGCTCGGCCACGTCTATCGCCTTGCACACACACGCACGTGGGAGGTGTGGGAATCCCTTGTTATCAGCAACACCCTTTCCCCGCTGCGCTTTTCCCTTTTTATTCCTCTTTTTACTTTGTTTCTGCCCCTCGCTGGCCCCTGTAAGCCCACTCCAGCAGCTGCAGAAGCATCCGACGACAAAGTGTGTCGTAGAGATGGCGGGAAAAACAAAAAAAACAAAAAGTTAAATCCAAGCAAATGCAAATCACACACAAATGCCATTGTGGGGCAAATAACGGAAGGAAATTATGAGTCTGGCGTGCGGCCCCGCCTCGTTGCTTTCCGCACAGCAGATGGAACAGCGGCGCACACACGGACGCAGACACACACATACACACATACACACATAGCGGGAGCAAAAGGAAAAAAAAGTAATGATCTATGGCTTTTGGGGGAGGGGGGGGGGAACAAAACAAAACGGAGAGACCACTCCACCGCCGCAGCAGGCAACCACTGACCCAACAGCACCGCCACCACCCTCATCCAGAAAGAGACGACGCAGCAGACATGTGCGCAGAGACAGGTGCCCAACTCCATTCACCTTCCCTCCTTTTTAAAAAAAAAAATTTTCCTCCATACCCCCGCAGTCCCGCAGGTCGCTAAACCATCAAAAAGTACTCCTCATGGGAGTCAATCAAGTCAGCAACGGCAACCTGAAATCGTTCAACGCTATCCTGCAGACCACCCAACATCGCATGGACCTCCTCCTCTGTGCCTGCGCTGGCAGTGACTTGACTCACACACACCCCAGACGCCGCGGCGGCGTCATCCCTGCCGTCTCCATTGGGAGCTGCAAGTAAGTCATCTAGGAAGTACGCATGCGGCACACAGGCCTCCTCCGCCGTCACCGACTGTTTTGTCGCCGTGGGCGCCCGCTGCTCCTCCTCCTCCCCCTCCGAAAACGTTTGCAGCTGCTCTTCTAGACTCTGCCATGGAATGTGCGTAAAGAGGCAGTCCAGGTCGCTCTGCACGCGCGAACGCACATATGCTTCACACAATACACAGCGGCTGCCCGCCGCCTCCAACTGAAACACGGACGGCGATGCGGGTGAGGGCGACTGCGTCGAAGTATCTATGTGCTGCAGCCGCTTAACCGGGGTCGAGAGACGCCTGACGAGACTCGTGCATTGCGTCAAAATCACCGTCGCCCAGTCAAGCGCACCGCAGGCTCGCTGGATGTGTTTCTCTGCTAGCGCAGAGCGAGCCAAAACAGTGGCGAGGGGCGACTCCGCCTGCGCAGTGGCACGCTGCCTAGCGGTGGAAATAATTGCCTGCCTGGTCTCCGCCTCAAAGGGCAGTCGCGTATGACGAAAGATCTCAGGGAAGGCTTCAAGGGGAATGACGCGAAGCCGCATTCGTCTCGGTTTTTGCCGTCCAATGCACTGATACACGCGTTGGCAGGGCCGGGACAGGGAGATACGGTCAAGGTAGCGTTGAAGGTCCGTCTCTGCCTTCAGCCGCTGAAGCCTGGAGACACCCTGCGCCGCGACCATCTCGTACTCCTTTGCCAACTGCACATGCTGCCTCATCGAGGCCTCCACGTGGCGCAAGACGTCTCCAAGGGCCTCCGCGGCGAGACGAACAAAAAGTGAAACACAGAGCCACATCACAAGCGGCTTCGCATACGTCCCCTCTTCATCTTCTATTGTTGTTTTCTTGTTTGCTGTCCTGGACATGCACTTCACGTACTCCATCACCGTGGTCTCGTCAAGCATCAGCGTGTAGCGCAGATAGAGGTACTTCGCGGCGCATACGGCGGAGCTGGCGGGATTCGGCAAATTTGTTGGGATTCGCCACCCGTGAAGCTCCATCGCGAGTGAAAGAAGATCGGTCAGGTCAAGAAACAGCTTTCGCCGTGTTAGCCGACGCACATGCTCGGGAAGCCGTGACCACACCCTGTCCACCAGAAAAGGCGCCGCATCGGCTACGTAGTCGGCGAAGAACATCTGACACTGTGTGACGTCGCGGTAGAGTGCAAGCGCCGGGGTCAAAGTCCCCGGCAGACGTGCTAAGCCCCGCACGTAGGCGAGGCGTCGCAGGCAACGCAGCAGCTCGAGGCACTCCGTGTGGCTATAGTCATGGTAGTGCTCCGCCGCCGCAATGGCAAGTGCAATGCTGAGCGCCGGATCCTCTACCTCCACTGTGGCAAGTGCCTTGAGGAGCAACAACAGTGAACGCGGTGGGAGCCCCATGACAGGCACCCGGCCGACACCTTGGTGCAGACGCAGCATCTCACTCACGCTGGTCGCCTCCCGATTAGTTGCCTTCCAGCGCAGGCTTAGCGACGTCTCTGTGGGCGACGACACGAGTGGGCCGCGGGTGGTGTCCAGGACGAGAGACGGGACGGTGTCCACGCCACTGAAACCCAGGTTTCCCCTCGGCGCAGCTGGCCCCTTCCGTCGTCCACGCGCTCGAAAGACAGAAAGAGGGATGTGCTCACCGTCTAACTCCACGCATCCGCCCAACTCCTCGTGTTTGTCGCTCGTTTTCCCCGGCGACGCAGGCTCCGTACGCGGCGCAAACGGGAGACAGTGCTCCGTCACGGCGCGGAGACTCGGCGGTACATGGCTCGAGGCCAAAACATCATCCCCAAGATCCCACTGGAAGCGAATTTCTAAGAGACGCTCAATGGTGCGGTCGAGGCCGTCATCACCAAACTGCGGTGCCGGTGGCTCCAGCACGTCTTGACGTTTTCGTCGCGTCCTCACGCCTCCAGTGGCCCGTCCCCAGAAGGGCGTCCACGTACGCCGCTCATCGGTCATGAGTCCCACGACGCTGTGGGAGGACACGCCGCCGTCCGTACGCACAGCCGGGACGGAGTACGAAGGCGAGCAGCCGTATTCGTTGCGAAAGTAATTGGCAAACGGACGCTTAGATTTCTTGAGGTTTTTTCGGTCCGCCTGATGACGCGCGGCGATACCAGCGTCTAGTTGCTGGTGCGAGGCCAATGCAGGGGCCAGCCACGGCACCCGTGGACGCCGCGGGGCCCACGGTGCGAGCCGCTGCATCGTGCAACGGCAGCTCATCTGTGCCCAAGCGGCCGCCCAACAATTGCGGTTTGTACTGCCGGTGGCGTGCGCGGATGAGCGTTAGGTGCGCCCAGGAGGCAGGAAAGGAGAGAGACGAAGGGAAACCCAACGCTTGACTGCGGGGACGCAGGAGCCGGCATGCGTGGGAGACGCAAAGAACGCGCAAAATAAAAAGGAGAAACATCAGTGGCATAAGAAACAAAATAACACCAAAAATAATAATAATAATAATAAAGGGGAGTGAGGAGGTGCCACACCGAGGGAGAATGAGAGCTAGAAAGAGAGAGAAGGCGGGTAAAAATTAGTCACATTAGTTTCCGTCACTAGGCGTGGAGGTGCAGCCCTGCAAAAAACAAAAACAAAAACGAAAACTGGCCAATGGAGCAGGGACGACGCACCCTCCCCACCACAACGGAATGCAGGGGACATCAAGAGCGCGGCGACAAGAAGAAAAAACAAACAAAAACACTGTGGAGATGGAGTGTCACGGCCTCATGCGTAGTTCCCCCTCGCCGTTTGCCCAATAGGCGGGTGTTCTTCCTTCCACTCAGACAGTCGAATGTCACGCTGGCGCTGCCGCTCCTCCACGCCCTCAGGGCCCAGTCGCTCGTCCTCCTCCGCCTGTTGCCGCTGTGCCGCCGCACTGGCATCCATCCGCCGCTGCACATCTGCCATCTCTGCCTCTGCAAACTCCTGAAGCGTCATCGTCGGGGCATTCCGTTCAAGCATCAATTCATCCACCACCCTCTGTCTGAAGTCCTGCTGACTGGCAATGGCGCTCATAGCGACGCTGCTGAGCTGTGCGGTGGGGATCGGCCCACCAGGGGTGATGAGGCCACCGGGAAGAATCGTATACGTGTGGCGTCCCAGCGACTTCTCGCCACGCTGCACCGCTTCAAGTGTATTTTGGTGTTCAATGGAAATGGCCTGCCGCTGCTCGGGAGAGAGCGCCTGGAGCATCTCTAGCTCCCGCGATGACAGCTGCCAGCTGCTGCAGCACTCGTAGATGGACCATCGCAGGCGCGACAGCGCACGATTGCGGAGAGCCTCCTCCTCATCACAGTTGGTGTCCTCAAACTCATCGTCATCCGCCTCCATCAGTGCCCCCATGTGCTTGCGCTTGGCCAACAGGTACTGCACCTGTTCTTCATAACGGTGTTTCTCCTCCTCCAGCTCCCGCCGCTTGCGGGAAAGCTCAAGCCGTTGCGTGCGCTGTTCCGAACTTAGACTGCGGTACTTCTCCAGCGTCTGCTCATCCACGAGCTCGTAGTCCAGCATCCACTGAAAAAACACGTCGCACCACCGCTTGGAGGCGGTGAGAGCCTCCTCGCGAGTCATGCCCGTCGCGCTGCTTGGCGCCAGCGCCGACGACGACACTACCCCGGGCGTTGGCATGGGTCCCTGAACACGCTGGTACAGGTCCGCGATGATGTACGGGGTCCACAGGAGCTCCAGCGAGTTCGTGGAGAGCTCATCCAGGTGCTCGTTGGGGGACATGATGCCCACCACCGCCATCTGGCGCCAAAGCAGCTCGAACTGCGGGATGAGAGTGCGGGCGAGCGCGTCCGTTTCCTCAGCCGGCATGCCGCGCAGGACTCCCCCCTCGTACTGGCGAAGCAGTTGGCTGAACTGCCCCTTCACAGTCAGATTGCTGCCGTCGTTAGGCATTGCTGTTTTCGCTCTATACCTTCCTCCCATAGACAACAAAAGAAAAAAAAGAATACAATTATAAAGGGGCAGCGCCCATTCAGATACAGCAGGGAAGCAAACAACGCGAAACCAAAAAACTCTGCTGACTTCAGAGTAAAAAAAAAAGTGCTCACAACATGCATCGAGCTGCCAAATGAGAGCAGTTTAGGTCGCTAGTCTCCGGTGTATCTTGGTCCTGGGCCCTCAACGCCCCGCTTGAACGCCCGCTGCATCATGGGATGATCCATGTAGACGTCGCGGCGAAACTGACGTAGAGGCGATAGTTCCCTGTTCCGCTGCGACCTTCGCTTTGCTCCGCCTCGCTTTTCCTCCTCCTCTGCTGCTCCCGTGGTAAGATCGTCCTCGTCGATGCCGGTGCCGGTGCCTGCTTTCGCGTGGGGCCGGGCCTCACGCCACCTGAGCACCTCACCCTCCCCATGATCCGGCCCCGTCATGAAGTCCTCTGGGCTGATGTTGTGCCGCTGGGCAAACCGCTCCGTCCAGACATCCGCCAACTCACGCCGCCGCAACACAATCGCACAGCGCCGCATTGAGGTTCAGAGTGCCATGCGAACCCCCGTCCCCGAACTCATGGGAAGCGGGGAGGTGGGCTCCCACAGCTCCTTCCACAGGGCCTCTCCGTGCTTGAGAGCCTCAGCTCTATCCTCCGGCCGTGAGCTGCGGGCAAGCTTGAGCGCCAGTCTCCCCTCCACGTCCAACGTTTGCATGCGCGGGGCCCCATCCTGGGTCTGACGCCGAAGCTGCGCGAGCAACTGCGGAATGGAGAGCAGCACCTCGCCGCTAATGCTGCACCGCCACAGGGGCGTGGGCTGGCAGAGGAAGATGCAGCGCCGCTGCACCGTCGCATTCCGCAGCCTCACACCCGTCACACAACGACGAGAAACGACGAAGTACATGCCACGCACGCAGCGCAGGCACGCCCCTCCCCAGTCATGCAAACAGCGCCAAATTGTCTTCAATACATGTTTCCATCACAATTGGCAGCAGCAGCAGCAGTAATAGCAACAACAACTGCCCCCTCTCATCGCAGCTATACACACAGAGACAGACAGACAGAGTGGAACACCAAACAGAAAGGGAGATGGTCAGTGTGAGACACAGCGCAAAACAGCAGAGCGTTGTGGCAGACATGAGAAGAGAGTAGCAACGGAAAGTGACGTAAATAAGGAAGGAAAGGGAAAGGAGACAAGCGCAAACCAAGATTAATAAAGAATCCTCAGCTGAAGGCAAAAAAAGAGAAAGTGAGGAAGCGGCGTTAAACGGCCCCGATACAGTGCGACGTAAGTGCGTCAAACAAAGTCAATAACAAAAGCCCGCAAGACGCACACGCCCATCAGCTTTCAGCTGGCGGCTGCCCCTACACTCACTCCCTCCCTCCCCTCCCTTTCTCACTCCCCACTTTACACCTATCAGCGGTGACGACAGCAGCAAGGAGGTGGATGGCAACCGTTGACTGCGGCAGTGAACACACAACTCTTGAGAGGCAAAAAAAAAAAGGGGGGGGGGGGGGGCGAATAAAGCAGTTTACTGAGAAACTGCAAATATCACCCCTTTTCTTTTCTCTTAATCTCTCCCCACACACACACATACGCATTGGTATATACGTCCTTTCTGCCACTTTTTGTCGTTATTCGTCTTATATTGGTAGTAGTCGTGGGGAGGAGAAAGGGGAAGACCCTCCTTTTCCTTGACTTTCTTCTTCTCGTGTATGCCTTTCTATCCTCGCCCCCGCCTCAGTAGTGCCTCCAGTCCATGCCGTCGTCGTCGTCGTCCGCTGCCTCGTTTGCGTCGTCCGGTAAATCTCGGTCATTCACCTCAGCGTCATCCACCACCTGCAGCGCCTCGTCAACGAGCTGGCAAAGGTTGTCCACGTACACCGCGTTGGTGACGTCCATTGGGCGAAAAGTGACGAGATTGAAATCAAAAATGACGCCGGCCAGCGTGCGCACCATCCTGCGCCAGCGCTCAGGAAGTGGCTTCGTATCAAGATAGTCAAAGTCGCAGGTGCAGAAGTGGTCTAGTGTCCCCTCCTTCACGGCCGGCGGAAGCAGGTCGCACTTGCTGAGCACGTTCACAAACGGGCAGTCGAAGCACACCATGCTCGAGAGCGCAAAGGTGCAGCCAGAGACAAACTTTCCCGCATCCGCGGTGGCTGCCAGCGCATCTAGCAGAAATAGGACAACGACGTGAAAGCCCTCCCGCTCCAGGAGGCGCACAAAACCCGGAACCGCCGCAACGTGCGTGAGCACCTCCAGCTGCCCTGGCATGTCAACTATGATAAAGTCATCCTCGTGGTCACCGAGCTGGTCACGCAGCCACACCTCACCCTGGCTCAGTAGGTACTCCATGCAAAACACCAACCCACCGTTTGGGCCAAGGCCTTTTCCTTCCATGGCGTCCTCCAGTGAGATTAGGTCGCGGATGTCAATGGAGGGGTTGTATGGCAATTCCTCTGCAGCAGGGTCAAAGTTGCAGATGTGCGTGGAACGGCCTTTTGTCGCGTAGTGTTCCGCCAAGACGGCACTGAGTGTGCTCTTGCCGCTCCCCGCCGGGCCAATCATAACGGCGGCGTACTTGCCCATCGTGAACGGAAGCTGCAAAAATAAGCCGATTTGCGAGAGAAATAGAGTGAAATAAAAAAAATAAAAGAAAAAAAATCAAAACCAAGGCGACAGGCAATGAAAGAAGCGACTGTTTTTTCCCCCTTTCCATATATGAACATGCGCATACTACCCTGCATATATATATATGCATGCGTTGCTATTAAAGGGACATCACAAATGTAAAACAAACGCCAAACGCAACTTACAACGCTGAAGTGTTATTGTTTTGGTTTTCTCCTTCTTTTTCTTTACTTTTCCTCGTTTTTGCTTTAAAAACTCTGAACCCTGAGGTACTTTTATCTTTTTGTCTTTCCTGTTTTGCCTATCGGCCTCTCTCCCACACGTTCACACAGCGCACGCCCCACCCACCAACCCACCCTCCGCTCAGTAGTACGCTTTGTCGTTCCGCCCTGCCCCCTCGCGCCTCGGCCGTGTATTTCGGTCAAACTCGGCTTCGTTTGCGGGGATGTTGTTTCCCCGCCCCTTTTCATAGCTGTGCCTGTCGCGTGGGGCATTGGCTGCTTCCCCGCTCCGCGAACTGTGCCTCCCCCTCACCTCATCGTAGCCCCTCTTCTGGCGGGTGAGTGGGGCGGTGGGATCGGTGGAGGTCACAAGGCTGCTGCTAATAAAGGTGGGCGTGAACGTCGGTGGCGCCGTAACGCCTTCCGGGGGCCGCAGCATCCGTAGGGAACCCCCCGAAGCCGCCTCCGTCGTCGGCAGTGCCGCGGTGGAAGAGAGTGGTTCCCCCAACGCGCTGCTGCTCGTGACGTTGTTGCTGTTCGCAGGGAGTTCCCGTCGGTGGGCGGCTGCGGACTGCGGCATGGGACCGTCTAGGCCTAAGTCGCCCAACGAAAATTGCTGCACGACGGTAAACATGTTCCACTCAAGCCGGTCTCGGAGATCTTCGTCTGTGAGTAAGGCAGCCTTGCGCCGGGCGATGGCGGCCTTGGCATACTTCACTTTTTCCTCGCATACCGTACCAAGAATCTCCTGCGCGGAACGGTAGCGCTCTAACCGGTCCTCTACCTCGTCCGGGTCGTGATTTAAAATCATCCGGTACGACTCCACGAGTTTCAGAAAGACGCTGTGGCGCACATCCTCGCTAAGAAGAAACCGGAATGCCGCGTTGCTGCGGTACCTGCCAAGGATGTCCTTCAGAAAGCGTTCCCCGTACTTGGCGACGTATTGTGCGGTACAGGTCATGTAACTCAGCGTCAGCGCCGGCATGTTAATGGTGCCGTGGAGCAAGTCAAGCGAGTAGCGGTTTGGAAACGGGTCTTCCAAGTAGCGCTGCGCCTCGATCTCCGCCTGCCGCAATGCCTCATCGCGTTTTGGGTCGTGGCGTGCTGCCGTGCCGCCCTCCCGGCGCACAATGCCCCCCGCCTTCACCGTCGTTGCCGCCGTTACGGTCAAGGCGGCCCCTGCTGCGCTGCCGTTGGTGGCCGTCTCCGACTTACCCTGCGCCTGGTCCTTCTTCTCATCGTTGGGGATTAGCTCGGGGTGGGCGCGGTACTCGTTCAGCTTCTGCAGAAAGAAGGGGTAAAACACGTGGGTCATCTCAAAGTAGAGAAACTCCTCCCGCTTCTGACTGGCAAGAACTTTAGCCATCATCTCCTCCGCCTTTCGCTTGTCGCGCTTCGCGAGGCTCGCAGCAGACTTCTCAATTTTGGCCCGTAGCTCCGGCCCAGGGGCGATGATGCCGGGAGTTGAGTCGTCCTCGGTGGGCATGCACACTACCGACGCAGTTGTGCCACACACACACACACACACACACTCACTCACTCACTCACTCACCCTCCGTACGGGTTTCTCGCGTCGCCCCAACCACCGTTGCAAGCGGGTGTAATGCATGCGTCCATAGGGAAAAGAAAATGAAAATGAAAGAGAGATAGAATAGGAGGAGCAGAGAAGGGGATGGAACGTAATGGTATAAATATAGATGTCAATAACCGCCTTGCGTTTCATGGGGGCGGCGTCAGACCACCTCGCAGGAACAAACTTCAGAAGGCCTCGCCTTCATTGCTTCCTCAGGACCACGAGGCCCTCTTTTTTTTCTTTTTTTTCCTTTTTTGTTTCGTCTTTTGCTGCGCCGCTCCATGTCCCGCTCTTACCTTTAGCAGTGCATCTATGAGCGCGTGCAGCCACGCATTACAGCGCCACCTGCGATGCGGAGGCAAAATTAACAACAACCGTGTCCAGCTTCGGTGCGTTCACATCCACAAGCACGAGCGTCCCGGTTTGACAGAACGGTGGCAGACAAATAAGTCTCACTCCTACGCTGTCGTCTTCAGAGGTCACCTTGTTTGTGGTGTCGCCGCAGGCCGGGTTGAAGTTCGCAAGCTGCATCCACTGTGTCTGCATCTCCGGCTGGTCACAGCAAACAAAACAGTGCGGGGCGCTTGGGAAGACAAACGGGTCGGACACCTTAAAGGGATAACTAAACAACGTGTTGGGGGCCGTCGGGCAGGCGCAGCCGCAGCGGAGCAGCATGGTCATCGCGTCCAAGCGTGTCGGGTATCGGGTTTCACGGCTGACGTCATTCAAGTTGCTACCAGCAGAAATGAAAAATATCGTGCCGCCCTCCATCGACGCTTTCGTCGCGGCAGCATTGGCGAGGGGTTCGCCGGGAAATGCATGAAACTCGTAGGGGTTCGTCACAAGCTTAAGTGAGGAGCGCCGGGCAGCCTCTGGAAGCAGCAGTGGGTGGAGTGGCTGCTGCGGCTGAAAGGCGTTGCTCATGTCTTGCTCCCCGGGCATCAAATCTACATCGACGGTGTCCGCGAGGCGCGCCAGCACAGCGTCGAGTTCGCTCATAAGCATCGCAGAGGTGACGATGCCGCTCTCCTGCTTGTCGTCGCTAAGGCGTGTGTGATCGGAGGGGTCCAACTTAACCTTCCGCTTTAGCCGCAGCTCATCGGTGGGGGCAATGTTGTTGCCTGCCACCACCAACCGGGCAATGCGGGAGGCCTGCGTCACCATGGCGTCATCGCCAACGTGGCCAGCCAAATAATCTATGAGCAGCTCCACCATCGTGCGGATACGGGCCCCTGCTGCATTCGGCGCCTGTGCGCTGCCCAATCCCAGCCCACAGACAATTCCCACGTAGCAAGGCGGAAGTGGGGAGCTACACGGGAGCAGTCGCGGGACGTAAATATCCCGCAAATCTGGAAGGGTATAACTGTGAACCAAAAGGCACCCATTCTCGCGCAGCGTCCCGTCCACGCCCAGTACAAGCCCCGTGCAAAGCAAATCCACTGAAACCCCCTGGAGTAGCACGCGGCCGCTGCTGTCCTCCATGAAGACTTCATCCAGCGGGGTGCAGAGTGAGACAGGCTGCTGCCCAGTCTCGCCACGATCCCCAGACTCCTCAGCAGTTTTATTGTTTCCACCCTCTTTCCCCTCGCCTACCTCACTGACAAGTGGAGGCGCATCGCAAAGGGCATCCGCGGCGTCACCCTCCCCCTCGTCATCCTCACCAGCATCAATGCGGATAAGTTCCTTTTGATACTCATCGAGAAAGCGTGGAAGCAGCCGCATCTGCTTGTAGATCACTCCCACACACAGCGCGCGCTGCCCCGGGACAAGATTTAGCACGCGAGCAAAGGGCGGGGCAGCACCGCCAGTAGGAACGTGAGCGTCAGCCATCGCGCGGATGGCGCGGAGTGCACGCGGCTGCAGCGCTGCCTCCCTGCATTGGTACATCGCCGCGTACTGCTGCGTGAACTGCTGTTGGCGGAGAAGGAACCGTTGGTGGGTGCGGCGCAGCGAAAGGGCGGCGCGTCGGCGAGGCCTCTCATGTCTCCCGTCACTCAACTCCTGCGTCATAAAGTAATGGAAGTCCCGGCTGTACGTACGAGGCACGCACACAGAGGAGGCACCATACGTAGAGAGGGAAAATACAAAAAAAAAAACAGAGAATGAAAGTTTTAAAAACAAAAAAAAACAAGAGGAACACGACAGCTCCGTGCGGAAGCAACAGGCTGCAGCGTCAGAAAGGGCGACCAAAGCAGTGAGCGGGGAGACGGCAAGAAGAGGAACCGGCACACAAAGCATGAGCCAAGCATGGGATAAAAAAAATATGTGTGTGCCTGCAAGAAACGAGAAATGCCAACCAGCCAACCTGCCCCTTTCACGCACATCACGGTACAAGAAAAGAAATAATGATCAAATTAAAATAAAAAAAACTCACTGCAGTTCCTGTTTTCTTCTCGTGAACGCTGCCGAAGACAACGGGCAATGACGGGCGCGGCCCCTTTTAAAGTAATCTCCTCCTCACTCAACTCGGCTGCTCGCGTGGCGTCCTCCTTCTTTTCCTTATGTTTTTTTTTCCTTTTCGCTCTCTCTTCCTCTCCATCTCTGCCTCGTGATCTCGTTTGCTTGTTTTAATATCACCGTTGTCGCTCAATAATAATTATTTATTTTTTTTTCGGTCTTATTTGTTCTTTGCTCGCGTGTGTCTTAGTGCAGGCGTGTGTGCGCGTCCGTTCTTATTTTGTTCTCCACGGTGTGTCGCCTCTCCGCAGGGCAGGCAGCACGTCACGCACCGTATTGCCCGCACCGAACATGTCTAAACGCACGCGCTTCAGCGTGTGGGAGGGGGGGTTTGTGGTTTCAAAAGAAAAAATCTCGCACTGCCGACGATTGGACAGGGACGGAAAGCAGCGAAGGTCATTCCATACGCCCACGCAGTGGGGAAAAAGGAGGGAGCACTGCCCTCGCCGGGGGTGGCCTCTAACGCGTCATGCAATGAGTACGTATATGCACCTGCTCCTCCCTGCCCGCCCGCGGGCGGGCGCCACACGTCGTGCTACACGGACAAGCCAAGGCGCAGAGAAGCGTCAGTGCGCAGCATCATAAAAACAAGAGGAAAAAAACAAGCAAATCGTGGTGGTTAGCACGGACCGCTAAGCGCAAAGGCGACGCGAACGAAACGCACACGCGCCCTCATGACACGGATGCGGATAAATGAGCCCAAAAAAGGGAAGGAACCGCAAATCAAAAACGAAAAAAAAAAAGGAAGCGAGAGCAACGCCCGCAGTGGCCAACGGCGAGATGCATCCTCCGCTGCAGTGTGCACCTTCGCCCTCGCTGAGCCTCCATCCCCCCGTTTCTTTCGCTCTACGCTTGTTGGTCTTGCGGCCCCCTGTCTTCTCTCTCAACAAGGGATGACGCACTCCACTTCAGTCCTCGCCTTTTCCTTTGAACCCTCTCCGCTATGTGGCGCTCTCCCCTCATCATTTCCTGCCGCCGCCGCCGCCGCCGCCACACACGCAGACGCGCAGTCATCCGCGCTGCACACTGACACGACGAACACGCCCAAATAATCCCTCTAAGTCCCTTTACACAACTAAATTACTTCTTGTGTCCTCCTTGACTTTCTGTTTTCATCTCTTCCTTTCATTGTTGTTGTTTTTGTTTCTTTTTTTTCTTTTTTTTCTTTTCTCATTTCATCCCTTCTTCATTTGGTGGTGAGAAAGTTGCGTGACTTATTTTTTATTTGCCATGTTCTTTTTTTGCCGTTTCTTTCCGTTTACTTCGCGTCCCCGTCGCCCCTGCCCACATTGGTGTATCATCACATCCTCGCTGACGATCGCTTCCGCCGCCAAACTTTTCCCTTCGCACCTCTCTGTCCACCGTTGACCGACGAGTTATCTATGCTAACGGGCGAAGAGTTTACTCGTCGTCGCCCATTGGCAACGGCGCGTTTTCGACCGCACGCGCCTCCTCCTGCAGAGCCTGGAGCTGCTCTGCCGAGAGTGGCTGCACGTTGGGGTCAAGCATCGGTGCCTCCACGAGCGTCAGGTTGGGGTCGTTCGCCAGCTTCTTCGCCAGCCACAGGAACGGCTTCTCAAAGTTGTAGTTCGACTTGGCGGAGATGTCGTAGTACTGCAATCCTTTCTTGCGGTGGAACGTGATCATCTTCGCCTTCACCTGCCGGTCCGCACAGTCTACTTTGTTGCCTACCAGCACGATGGGAATGTTGTCGCACACTCGCGTGATGTCGCGGTGCCAGTTGGGCACATTTTTGTATGTGTTGCGACTTGTCACGTCGAACATGATGATCGCGCACTGCCCCTCAATGTAGTACCCATCCCGCAGCCCCCCAAACTTCTCCTGTCCGGCCGTGTCCCAGCAGTTGAAGCAGATCTTGCCGCGGTTGGTGTGGAAGGTCAGCGGGTGCACATCCACGCCCACGGTCGCAACGTACCGCTTCTCAAACTCCCCCGTCAAGTGCCGCTTCACAAACGTCGTCTTCCCCGTACCACCGTCGCCCACCAAGATGAGCTTGAAGGTAGCCACACAGTCCGATGTCGATGGAGCCTGCATCTCGCACAGTTATCCTTCCTCCGCGTCTTCTTTCCTCCTTATTAGTTTGTTTTTTGTTAAATTTAACCCTTCTGTTTTCTTTTTATTTAATCCTTTTGACGTCGTACGTCATGGCGAGAGAAGCAGAGAGGTGGCGGGGCAGCAGCAGCAAAAAAACAAATAGTCCAGCAAACCCCTCGCGCGTTGTCGCGAGTTGGGAGCGGTGGGAGGGAGTCGCACGATGCAGCGAGCGGCTGCAGCACCCAGCACGGCAGCAACAGCCACAATGCGAGAAGGGCAAAGAAAAAAAAGACACAGTGGGGAGATAAAGAGAGAGGGAAAAAGACAAACACCTTCTGTTACCTCTTCTGCTGCCGCGCTTCTCTAAAACATCGCGCGCTGAAGTGCATGTGTCACGAGTCGGTGTGACTGCCCTCAGATTTTTTTTATGGGACTGTATTCCCTCGTTGCTTCGGCGTCTTCCTTGTCTTGCGCCTTCTGCACGGCAGCATTGACGGCATCAATAGACACACACATATACACACACGTCACCGCCCTCCCCTGTTGCTTCACCGTGTTTGCTTGACGCTGCCAACTCCATCACCTGCCCTCCGCCATCCACTGCGTTGCTATTCGGTGCGAGAGTCACCCCGCTTTACCGCTGAGTTGCGTGAAACGCCGGCACCAACACTTCCAACACACAAGGCGGCAGTACTGGGTGGCGGCGCAAAGACGCAACGGTTAAGGGTGTGAAATAAGTGCGGGGCATCGGGCTGCTTACCTCCTCTATCACATACCGCAAACAAGGAGACGCACACCACACACACACAGTAACGGGGTGGAGCGGTGGAAAAACAAAGAGTAAAATAAATAAGCAATACAAACACAAACGTAAACACAAAAAAAAACACGCGAACTACATACATATATAGGCCCATGTAACTCGGAGGCGCCTCACACACACACACCACTTTATAAACCTGCGCAGCGTCGAACCTTGCATATCGTCATTGGAAAAAGAAATTCATGCGTTTCGTCATGTTGTTGTCCTCAAAAGTGCACTTGTCCCTGTTGCATGTATTCAGTTCGCCGCGCAGACGCAAACAGGTGCATCGCATGCATGCATGTAGACCGCGCCAGTGGGGAAAGAGGGGACTACTGCCAACCAGGCTCAGATGCTGCTGCTGCTGTTGTTGTCGTCAGCGTCGTCGCTGTCGGTGCTGATGTCGGAGGTGTCGATGTCAGAGTCTGAGTCGCTGACGCTGTCGTCCCCCGAGAACCCGCTCCC